TCTCTTGCTTGGTTGGGTTGTCTCTTTTTTGTGTTAAGCTCATGTAGATTCAAGTCGTACTCACATGACGCGAGGGAGTATGTCGAGGGCTTATGTTCTTAGCCGTTGACGACTCATCTTTGGACATCCATGGAAAGGCTTCTAGTGCATCGGGTTAGCCTCTCTCAAACCTTCGGTTCCTTGTGCTTCTTCTTCTTGGCATACAGTTTTGGGAGGAATAATAACATCGTCATCATTTCGTCGAATTCCACTTGCCGTTGGGTTTGTGTTGAGTATGACGGAATAAAAATCTTAATGAATTATTTTTTCCATGATTTTATCTTTTTTGCCATAGAATCATACTCTAGGTTTATAATGTTCTTGTAAACCTAAACTATTTTCATTTTAATGAAATATTTACATTCTTAGAAAAAAAAAAGAAAAAAACAGTGAAATTATCAAATTATATTATATTTTGGCCCATATGTATAATTTAATATGATTCAGTTTGAATCAATTAGCAATAAAAAATCACAATACTCATTACTCAATCATATGAAATATAAACAAAACCATGGTGTTTAAGTTTGATTAGTATATACGATAATGTGTATGTCTTTTTGGTCAAAAGAGTGTATGTGCCATTTTATATTATGTTTTTCATAAAAGTACTTTATAGGAATGGAAAAAGTAATCGACTTGTCTTTGATGAGTGGCTCAAATGATGTGGAGGAAAATATTAATCATTGTGGGCCTTTTCAACTTATTTAAGCTCTATCTTCTTCATTTTCCTAAAGTAATAAGGTGCCAGTCGATAAACAATAGTATGGGGCCTCAAATTTTGTAAGCCCAGCAGAATGGGTTTTATGAGATACATTCTTGTTTCGTGATGACAAAAATACTAGGTTGCATGAAAACTGAAACGGATATGTGAAAACAAAACGTTTGGAAACATAGAAACGATTTTTAAAAAAAAATTAGGAAACGGATACGTTTTGGAAACGCGCACACACACACATATATATATACAACATCAAAAAAAATATTTAAAACAATTTAAATTATACAAATTATATACATAAATATTTAATAGTTTAACAAAAGCAAAAAGTATAATAATTTTGTTGGTTTAACCTATATACAAACGCAATTTTTCATAATTTTATTGTTTTTAACCTATAAAACTACTAAATATATCCCTACATTTCCAAACTATTTAATTATTATGTAAGAAACAATTTTTCATCGCATTTACGAAATGTAATCAAACATTTCCGCCGTATTTCCATTTTGAGATTTCTAGGAAACGAGTTTCCGTCACGCTTCCAAAACGGAATTAAAGTTTCCATCGAGTTTTCAAATATTTTAGGAAACGCGTTTCCGAATTAAATTTTTTTAGAAAATGCGTTTCCATGGAGTTTCCAAGAGTTTCGATTTTCGAAACGTTTCCGAAAACGGGAAACACACCTCGGATGGATTTTTTATGCAACCTAGCAAAACTGGCATTCCTTTTTTGTTTTTTTCTTTTGGTTGCCAAAAAATGGCATTCCTATATGCGTAACGTCCATAATATGCATGAAAATCTTTAATTTATAGGCAATTAAAAATCAATGATTAGATCAAATGTCAAAATAATGCACATAATATTTGTTTTCCCTTTTGCAGTATCAAATATAGTGACTGGAAACCTTGAATACAGAAATCTATTTGTAACATTAGGAGTATGATTCTTAATGATTTTTAGAATTCATAAATTCCACTGTTATTAGTTTATAAATTCTAACAATCTTAGTGAAATCTACTGTTATTGATTTATAAATTCTAACAATCCACCCACTGGTATTAGTTT